GGCGGGGGTGGCCTTGGTGTTGTTGCTCCGCTTGCCCCGAATAGTTATTGTCGCGAGTAGAATAAACCCCCCCCCCCCCAGAATACGTGGGGCAGCCTGAGCACCCACGCTCAGGAAGAGTAGGATAACTTAGTCCTGCATCTGCACCTGCACTCACCAAACGAAACGCAGAGGTCATCCCGGTTTGAGCCGCCAAATCCTTGCGACAGCAAAGGCTGCCGCGTGGCTCTAACACTGTTAGAAATTTAAAAAAGCTACTTACCTTACTTTAGCTATTAACTCTTATGTAATACTTTAACTATTATTTGTTTAAAGCTGTAATCGACCTTGGAATTAAAGTGTTTGTCAAAGGGCAGGAATATGTGTAAAAACACTTGAGGATATTGCTTGATCTGATCTAGAGTCAAATAATATATTACAAAACCTCACGATGAACGAGCTTTAGCAGAAATGCAGAGACAGAGGTCTACACACAAGAGACTGACAGGTCTAAAGCTCATTCATCGTCAGGTTTTTTTGTAATGTACCTAATGTACTTATTATGTAATGTTGTAACATTATGCTATGCTGAGTGCATTAAAATCTGTGAGTAAGCAATAAATCACTTATTAACCACAATTAGGATAATTTTTTTTCCAAATTAGACCATTGGAAAATAATGGAACCAATTTTAAGGTATACCCAATCCAATAAAAAAAGAATCGTCAAAATCGGATTACTCTGTAATAAATCACCCCAAACATCCTTAGGGTAAACATTGTTTTTCAAAAATTATATGGGACCAATTTCGAGGTATACCCAATCCAATAAAAAAAGAATCATCAATGGACTACTCTGTAATAAATCACCCCAAACATCCTTAGGGTAAACATTGTTTTTCAAAAATTATATGGGACCAATTTCGAGGTATACCCTATCCAATAAAAAAAGAATCATCAAATTCGGACTACTCTGTAAAAAGTTAAGCGTGGTCATACATAAAAAATATACGCGTCGACTTGAGAACCCCTTCGTTTTTTCGTCGGTTGAAAAATATCGACTGTCTATATTTTTATTTCAGTGGCTACGTCATCGAGCGAACGCGCTAGGATTGTACAAAAATGATAAAATAAACAAAAGACCAGAATTAATGAAATAATTATTTGATTTATTTGAGTTCTTGTTGTGATTATTTGATTCGTGTATTAATAAATACTACTGTACTACATGTACATGTAGTACAGTAGTACATGTACAGTAATAAAATAATACTGTTTTTACTACTACACAGCCTGTTAAAAAGCCACAGACTACAATAAATCTAAAAGGAAATGTTTACTAGTCACTTCTTCTTAAAATCATGGCATATTTACTCAATCATTTTAGTCAAACCGAGCCCTTTCAAATGAGCCCAAAATGATGGTGTTTCGTAGTGGCATCACTGAGATATTTTATCCCACCTTCTAAGTCCACCATCATGAAGGTAAAATCATCACAATGACCTAGGTTTTTATGAGCCCTTTCATATGAGTTCAAACACGATCGTTCTATCTAGTGCCGTCACTGTGATCCTATACTCATCATCAGAAAGGTGAGATCATAACAGTCACCCAGTTCTTTATGAGGACTTTCAAATGAGTTCAAACACGATGTTTCTGTGTGCTACGGTCACTAAAATACTATACTTACCTTGGGTGTTCACCACAGTTGGTATTTAAATGAGTATAAAAATGATGGTTCTATGCAGTGGCATCACTGAAACCCTTTACCCATATATTGAGTTCGCCATCAGGAATGTGAGATTATCTCAGTTGCCTAGGGTTTTATGAGCCCTTTAAAATGACTCCAAACACAATGGTTCTATGGAGTGACGTCACAGATTCTAAACCAACCTTCGACGACCACAATCAGCTAGGTGATATCATCACAGTCATCTAGGTATTCATGAACCTTTTTGAAAATGAGTTCTAACACGATGGTTCTATGTAGCATCACTGAGATCCTGTACCCACGTTCTGATTAAATCATAAGGAAGGTGACATCACCACAGTCACACGAACGTCAACGTCACGGTCAGTCAAACGAAATTCTCTAAATATATAATCTCTTTGCATTTTCTTTCGCATATACCATGGGGAGTGCTCTGAGGAATTGTTCGGATTAATCCCAGCCGCCAAATTTCGTGAACGCACTACGCGGCAAACGTCCCGATACCATCCACACCATCTGGATGCTTGGCGGTCCACCATTGTACGTTTCAAGAGGAGCTTTCTTCCGCGTACAGTCTCTCTGTGGAATAGTTTACCACCAGCGATTTTTCCGGACCGATACGACCTGGGGACTTTCAAGAAAAGATCTTACTCCTTTCTAAAGGGCCGGCAACGCACCCGCAATTCTCCTGGTGTTGCGGTTGATCATGGGCGGCGGTAGTCACTTAACATCAGGTGAGCCGCATGCTCGTTGCCCCCCTTCTATAAAAAAAAAAATAATAAGAAATCGAAACAGCATAGATATAATGTAAGTAGCTTCAAAGAAAATAAATACTTACCAGTAATTAATACGAACTGAAGCTAGCGAATAATTACGGTGTGCCCAAAAAAAAAAAACTCCGCGGAGTGCCGTCGGTTAAAAATTTCAATTTAAGATTTCACACTCACGGTCAGTTTTTAGATGTACGTCAATTCAACTGATCATTTATTTTCAAAGTGTACGCAAGTTTACACGTATTGAAAAATGCAGAATCTACCACGCTTTTTTGTGTGGATCGAGCGAAAGAGGTCGAGCTTCTTACAAAGCCCTGCAAGGGTAACTGTCCAAATGGTGAACTACGCTTAGCCAATTTAGTTCCTAGGGCTTACGGAGGAAATCAATTTATGAAATCTTGGTATCATGTCAAGGGTTAATTCTATTGACAATATTGGAAATTGTGGAAATTTGAGTAAAGTCGATTAAGAATTTATATTAAAAAAAAATAATGAAACCGAAAAACTTTTTGCAGAGGAAAACAGTGGGAAGTATACAGCAAAAGTTGTCAAAAATCAGTCAAAGCCTCTTAACTGTCTATATGTTGCGACCATTGCTTTTTCGATAGAGGAGTTTATATTACACACATCTTTATATTTATGCATAGACATTATACTTTACCAGCTTTCCGCTCGGTAATTTCGCCCACGTTAAATGAAATTTTTCTGATAGTAAGTGCCGACCATCGCCGATGCACTACTGCAACACCAAGTGAAGGTCGTGCACAAAAATCAAATCAAGAACAAAGCACGAGCGTAATGTACCGTGAGTAATATTCTAAGGATAAGGTAGGATTTGAATATTTTTGTATGGCATTCTAAGCCAGTGCAGCCGACTATGATAAAGGGCACTGACTTAGTTTAGCAAAAGCACATTATAATGGGATGGAAAAACCGCTGGCAAATTATTGCTTTCCGGTTTACTGTACGCACGACGAACGGTATAGCGAACCGTGTCCACAACGAAGGGGTGGAAACTGGAGATTGGCCGAGCGTCTGGTATCCGACGGTGAAAGGGAAAGGGCGGAATTAAGTCATGCGATTGCTGCGCACAATCTCACAAATGTATCCTGTAGAAAACCGAAAGATGTAACATAATGAAACAAGAACTGAAATAAAAACAATTTAATTTAATACTTCCTTCAGTATAACCCAAAACATTACAAAGTCATTTCTGATAAATGTCCAAAATAATAGTAAGTATATTTTAATAGATGAAGCACACATCCTTCATCGATTGCACTACACAATATTCCAATTTGGTCAGACGCAAAATACAATCATTAGAATTTAATAAAATATGAAATAAGACCTGTAATAAACAATTTAATATTTTTTTTCAGTATTGTCCAAACTAATATAATCAGTTCATTAAAACGTTTTTGCAAACAATTACAAAGATAAGTAATTTACACTTTAATATACGAAGCATGTGTCCCTCATCGCTTGCACCCATGCAATTCGGTCAGACGCTTCGATGGAATAAAATATTGGGTTTCGATGAAATAATGGGTGCGTTTGGCAGAAAAAAGCGCCAGCAAGCGCTTGTAAGTAAAATGGCGATCGTAAGCGGTAAGCGCTATCAAATCGTAAGTAGCTATTTTCCTCTAGGACACGAAGTTAGTTTTAACCGGGAAACCTCACCTCATTTAAATATATGTTTGTAAAGTATTCATATTAAAAACTTACCAATGATGAATTTTTAATAACATGTATAATATGTTTATTAATGTCATTATATTACTTAAAACTAATATTGCACAAAACAACTTATAAACTCTATTTTAAAACAAACAAAATAAATAAGCAAAATGGCGGATTGTGTCAGCGCTACTGAAGTAGAAATCGTGTCCTGGCCGAAAACTATTTTAGCGCTAGTAAGCGCTTGCTAGCGCTTTTTTCTGCCAAACGCACCCAATGCATTATTAATACAATGCATAATGTAAAGAAATTAAAGGAAGTCGGAAATATCGAAATTCGGTCGAATACTTAACCTAAATTTAAATTATACTTCAATGCTCGAAGTTTTTTTGTAATTTTTTACCTGTATACCTCACAAACAAGTACACAAATTTAAAAACATGTAAGCAAATAAATATGTTATAATACATTATATAAGTATAATGTTTCTTACGTCAATTATAAACGTAATTTAATAAGATTATTTTGGCATGTAGATTGCACTGACAAACAAGGCTTATATAGCGGCAGTCATCTAATGGATAATAGTAACTACAAACTTTGGTCGAAGGAACTAAACAAGTGCAAAAACACAAAACTTATAACTTATCTCTCAACTTTGAATTACGACTAGTACAACTTAAAATTAACAAATATCCAACATTGGTCGTTGTGCCATTTTTTTAATTTTATGCTTTTTTCTATTTTTTTACGGTTTTATATTTTGTGATGTTTAATGAAAAATTATATACAACAATAAAAAAGAAATTTATTATTGTATATAATTTATTTAAAACGTCGCAGTCAATATTGTCGGTGTCAATTGATAACGTAGTGCAGTGTTCTGCGATCTGGAAAAAAAAGACCATTGAAATTTAAGTTGACAGTTATTTACTCATGTGTCGACAGTAATGTCTTAAACTCACAATACTAATATTACATATTAATTACTTATCAAGTAATACCTACTATTACGTTTGCCAACATGCAATTTTACAAGAGAATTCTTATCTTATTATTTAGCCTCATTTGATTTTTGATTTTTTTTCTTCCCTGCGTAGGGTCGTTGCGCTGGTTTTCGGCCTTTTAGTGGAGTTGACAACTTTAAGGTACTATAAAAAATAATAGCGATTATGTTGACCTAGTGTTGTTAATGTTAATTTATAGCTTATATAATGTAGTTTTCATTTTGATAACTCATTAATGCTACAAAAAAGAAATCTATTTTTTATAATAAATTTTGATGTGAAAAATATGCAAAACATGCAGTTTTCGGCCCCAAATTTTAGATTTCGGCCTACAAGAATTTTAGTTTTCGGTCCCAAATTTTAGATTTCGGCCTACAAGAATTTTAGTTTTCGGCCACTGTATTAGAAGAGGTACTATAAACTTAAAAGTGTTTTTGTAAAATCAGAAAATGGCAAAACGGTTTGGGAAATCGGTGTATTTAGTTTTCTCAATCGGTGATTGCGATTTTTTAACCGTTACGTTATTTTTTTCTTTTTGGGTGTGTTTATGATATAAAATAATAACCATGATTAATTATTTCTCTTTGAATCATAATCTAATAATAAAATCTTTTAAATATAGCAATCAAATATTCTCATTTACGAGTATTTTGTACTACCTCATAAGTATTTTAGTTTAACAAAATCTGTTACCATATCTAACCATTCTCATCTCTAACCAAGAGGAGCCATCTGAAGAAAAAAAATCTTTTTGAATTTTCTTCCTAAAACGCAATGTGAATAAAATATTTGATATGATAAGATGAAATGGCCGTAAACGTAAACTAAGACAGCATTCCATTTTCCGCCGCCGTATTCTTTCATACAATTTTAAGTTGGCCGAAAACTAAATTGTATATATTTTAGAGTCAATCCAGTTTTCGGCCACGACTGAATTTTGTTTCATCACTAACTGTTCAAATTGCAGTACTTGGTGGCCGAAAACTAAAAGTTAGTGTCTACGCACGCTACGATTCAATATAAGTAAGAAAGATGAGTTATAGTACGTAACTGAATAAACGAAAGAGACAAAGTATTTAGGCTAAACTCAGAATACTTTTCGGCCGCATGCCCGACAACCAAATAATGAGACAATTTTATGTGTCACTTTTCGGCCACTTAATTTATTAACTTTATCAATAAATTATTATAATAATCAGTGTCAAATAACTATATTAGGTTATTTATATAGTGAAATATAAGCACAATATTAAGTAATTATATTAAATACAGCACGAAACTTACTTTTGAATGGAACGCTCGCCACTATTTTTTTTGCTCGATCTTACCCGTTTTGATAGCTTCAGTGTCGGCGTCAAACTAAACTATTTATTATAAATCGCGTGTTGTGTTTACCTGATTAATTAATGCTACCGGATATAGTGAAACTATTTACAAATGCATTAAACTGTATTTCTTACGATAATATTTATTAAAATTGTTATTAAATCAAATTTACTGCATCAGCTCGTGCCAAAGGCCGAAATCTAGGCCGGCTTACCGGCGCATCGAACCTATATGAAAATTAACCTTTAAAATTCGCCAAGAATTTTAGGCTATAGGGATAGAAAAGCATATTATTTATACGTAATATTTTCACCCCAAAAATTACCTATTTAATTATTTAATAAATAAAGATTAACAGACAATGCAAGGCAAATATAATTCGTCTTTATCTATAAACATAACTATATTTAAATATATTTAGTTAATGTTGTTACTAACATAGTTTGAAAATCACTTTACTAACACATATGTTTGATGGTCCGAAATATGTGATGATTATTATTATTATAGGGGTATCTGTATATTTTTCTCATCTGGTTGGTTTCTATAAATATATAATTATAAATTAAAATGAAAAGATAAATATACATAAATATCAACAAAATAAAATAAATACAAAAAATACACAAATAAATAAAGATCCAACCAGATGGAAGCCCTCGGCAGGGGAGACCAAATGGCCGAAGGTTAGGAGGAAAGGGAAAGAAACCGACGGACGATGCGGGCGGTATCGAGGAGCACTGCCTTTTGCATTTGAGCCCGGAGCAGTCCGTCACGGAGTCTCAGTCGCCTCAAATGACCCGAGAGGCTGACTGGGATTAGCCCATTCGCAGAGACGACTACAGGAATAATTTCGGTCGGCCGACCACCCCACACGTCGGTCACCTCGTGAGCCAGGTCCAGATATTTTGTTCGCTTATCTGTTTCGGCTTTCACGAGGTTCTCGTCATACGGAATGGTAATGTCGACCAAAAATATCCTTGACTATGCCCGGTCCATCAGCACAATATCAGGCTTATTCGCAAGAATAGTCCTGTCTGTGATGATGGCCCGGTCCCAGTAGAGCCTGGCGCGATCATTTTCGAGCACGGCTTCCGGCAAGTACTTGTAATACGGCACTTTCCGGTCCACGAGACCGTATTTCAGAGCGAGCTCCTGGTGTAGAATTCTGGCTACTAGGTTGAGCCTGTGCAAGTACTCAGAGTTAGAAAGCGCCGAACAACCGGAGATAACATGCCTAAGTGACTCCCCGGGATGGCGACAAGCTCGACAGACATCGACGGTGCATTTATAAATCCATTTTGAGCGCGTGACATCACCTGGCTTAGCTCCAGGTGACGAGTGATTCTCGCGCTCAAAATGGATGACAGTGTCTTATATATGGTGGGTAGACACGTGATGGGGCGGTATTTGCTCGGGTTTGTGGTATCCTGATCTTTAGGAACAAAGTGAGTGATCCCAGTAGTGAAGAGGCTTGGGAGCGACTTCTGGTCGAAAGCCTCTTGAAACTGTCGGGCGAGCACAGCGTGACACACTATGAACCCCTTCAGCCAGTAATGATGCAGCCCGTCGAGCCCCAGACTTTTTCAGTTCGGGCCCTACGGACCGCCTCAGCCACGTCTTCCGGCGTTATGGTGATGGGGTCCATAGGCGTAACACTCGCACCCTGGCTCGCCACAACTTCCATCCAAGGGCCCTCGCTGTGGTTTACGGGCTCTGACCACAGGCTACGCCAGAATGCGATAATGTTAGCCTGATTCGGTCCTTGGCCCGCTCCACATAACTTTGGTCGCTTCAATGATTTATAGAGCCTCTTCTGATAACTCTGGAAGAGACGATTCTGGTTGAACCCCCTTGACCTCTCGGTAAATCGTCGAATCCGCCTCCCCCAAGCAGTGATCTTTTGCTTCAGGTCGTCTATGCGCTCCGTTAGTTTCTGCGTGATATCCGGCTGGGACAAACTGATATTTGTCCCAGCAAACGCCATCCTAACGGTGCGCACAATCCTCGGTCTATTATTACCCGACCTGAAGCTTGTCAGTCTGCCGATAAGGGCCCTTGCCTTTGCGATACGGTCCTCGATTCTTTTTCTCCAGGCTGAGATGGCGCTTCTTTGTGTAGTAGCGCATCCAGCCATGGGAAGTTTGGCGCCAATAATACGGCGATAATAACGATACGATAATTATTATTATTATTATTTTAGGGTATTAATAGAGTATTCTCATCTGATCATCTGGTAGGGCTGAATAAATATATAGAAGGAAATAATAAATATATATTTAAAGTATATTAAATATACAATATGTAACAAAAACCCTGAGGTTCCCGTTAAGTGCGTTATCAGAATCTGTATTCAAACATATATAAATATTTTTTTTCCAAAAACACATTTAAAAAAATTAATTTTAATTAAAAAAATAATTTGCAATTTGTATGTGGTTTTATTACATACTAAATTAGCCGAGGAGTAAGAGGATTGTCAAAGACACCGCATTACCGATATCTTGTGAGTTAGAGGAAATAAAACCAGATACAATTTGCAAATAGTTCTTTTTTAAATTAAATTTAAACGGCCGGGGAGCAACGCGGGCGGTATCGAGGAGCACTGCCTTCTGCATTTGAGCCCGGAGCGTTCCGTCACGGAGTCTCAGTCGACTTAGGTGGCCCGAGAGGCTGACTGGGATTAGCCCATCCGCAGAGAAGACTACAGGAATAATTTATGTTGGCAGACCACCCCACAATCTCGGTTACCTCATGAGCCATGTCCAGATATTTTGTTTGCTTATCTGTTTCGGCTTTCACGAGGTTCTCGTACGGAATGGTAATGTCGACCAAAAATATCCTTGACTGTGCCCGGTCTATCAGCACAATATCAGGCAAGAACGTTCCTGCCTGTGATGATGACCCCGTCCCAGTAGACCTGCGCGATCGTTTTCAAACACGGCTTCAGAACAAGTACTTATATGTAAGTACTTGCTCTGAAGGCAGTTTCTGATCCACGAAGCCGTATTTCAAAACGAGCTTCTGGTATAAAATCCTGGCTACTAGGTTGTGCCTGTATAAGTACTCAGAGTTAGAAGCGCCGAACAACCGGAGATGACATGTCTAAGTGACTCACCGGGATGGCGACAAGCTCGACAGATGTCGGCGGTGCCATCCCCTTAGGATGTTTCTCCGATAGTTGTTGGTCTTAATAATCCGATCCTGTATTGCACAGACAAAACCCTCGGTTTCCCCGAAGAGGTCACCGAAACGTAGCCAATTGAACGAAGCGACTGTATCTACGAAGGGCTCATGTAGAGCCCTGTAGTACCTCCCGTGGAGGTCCTTCTGCTTCCATACGGTCTCCCGGTCAAAAATGCTATATACTGCTGGGTCCTGCCATCGCCCCTTGGCTAAGAATAGAGGGGTAAGCCCTTTATCACAAGAAATGACGTCATTATAGAACGGATCATCCGATCTCGCCAGGAAGTAATGACGGAGGTTGCACACTTCGCGATTATGCATGGTGAGCGCGCTCAGAAACCCACGTCCACTATGCTTTCGCGGTAAGTAGGTACAACCTCATTACCGATGATCTCGAATGATACATCCTACGGGACGCCATGGTAGTGCGGACTTTTCTATCCAGGGCGTTAAGTTCAGTCTGAGTCCACCTGAGTATGCCAAAGGTATACATGAGAATAGGTATGACCCAACCGTTATATGCGTGTGTCTTATTCACACCGGACAAAAGGCTGTTAAGCACTTTGGTCAAGCGTGCATAAAACACGTCGCAAACTGACTGTTTGATACCCGCCTCATTGATACCGATGTTCTATGACGTACTCAGGTATCGGTATGTTTCAACCTCGGAAAGGGTCTTTAAGTTAACGGGCATAGATAAGTCTAAGCCCTCAGAGTTATCAACCCTTCCCCTTTCAACATGGAGGACCGCACACTTATCCGTCCCCAACTCTATATTGATGGAACTGCTTAATTCACAAGTGATGTTCAGCAACTCCATAAGATGGGAGCGACTGGAGGGAACAACTTGAGGTCATCCATATAGAAAATGTTGGTCACTTTTGGGGAGGGGATTTCAGCTACGGAAGGGAGGGACCCTTCCGTAGCTCAAATCCCCTCCCGGAGCCCAGCAGTAAGGTACTGAGAATACTGTTCAGAGAGAGGCAGAACCAGATTGGACTCAGACAATCGCCTTGGAAGATACCCCTTCTTATCCTTATGTGGTTCTCCGCACCTGTCATCCGCTCGCTCAGATGACAAAGGATCGTACTCCACTGCCTTATACACTGCTCGAGGAAGTCTAACTGTACATTCAATCTTGTACAGCTCGAGGAACCTCTTTAGCCATGTATGGGGCACCGAGTCGAATGCCTTTCTGTAGTTTATCCAGTAGTTTCGACGGTTGCGTTTCACCACTTTGCCAATGACCGCGTCAAACAGGAGTTGGTCCTTGGTTCCACGACCACCGTCCTGACATCCATTTTGAGTGCGTGACATCACCTGATTTAGCTCCAGGTGACGACTGGATAGACACGTGATGGGGCGGTATTTGCTCGGGTCTGGGGTATCCTAATTTTTAGGAACCAAGTGAGTGATCCCAGTAGTGAACAGGCTCGGGAGCGACTTCTGGTCGAGAGCGTCTTGAAACTGTCGGTCGAGCACTGCGTGAGTCAGCCCGAAATCCTTTAGTCAGTAGTGATGCAGCCCGTCGAGTCCCGGACTTTTCCGGTTCGGGGTCCAACGGACCGCCTCTGCTACGTCTTCTGACATTATGATGACGGAATCCATGAGCGTAAAACTGGCGCCCTGGCTCGCCACAGCGTCCATCCAAGGGCCCTCGCTGTGGTTTACGGGCTCTGACCACAGGCCACGCCAGGATGCGACAGTGTCTTGATCCGGTCCTGGAGCTGCTCCACATACCTCTGATCGCTCTAATGATTTATAGAGCCTCTTTTGATCACTTTGGAAGAGATGATTCTAGTTGAACCGCCTTGACCTTTCCGTAAATCGTCCAATCCACTTCCCCCAATGAGCGATTTTTTGCTTCAGGTCATCTATGCGCTCTGTTAGTTTCTGCGTGATATCCGGCTGGGACAAACTGATATATATCCCAGCAAACGCCATTCTAACGGTGCGCACAACTCTCGGTCTATTATTACCTAACCTGAAGATTGTCAGTCTGCAGATAAGGACCCTTGGCTCCTTACGATACGGTCCTTTATTCTTTTTCTCCAGGCTGGGATGGCGCTACTTTTTCTAGGAGCGCGTCCAGCAATGGGAAGTTTGCCGCCAATAATACGACAAACTGCCACTGCGGCGCCAAAAAGAATTGAGTCCCTCTCGCAAAGGTTCCGGCTGGCCTACCTATTTGAAGGTCACCAGCATTGGGTTAAAAGCCCTCACGACAGCCTGATTTCGCTTGCTTAGGGGTATGCGGGGAAGTCGCGGTCGATTTTGGAGAGGCATGCGCATTTCCAAAATCGCCTCTTCCTTCCTTTATTATTATTAACATCAATACGGAAGGAGTTTATTACCACTTTGGATTTCAATTAAAACAATTATACCTCAAACGAAGGCGCAAAAAATATTACGTACAAAACTCAAACTCGTTTCCGCGTAACCACCTCCCGCCTTTGAATAATTAACTTTCGCAATCAGAGTCACCTAAGGAACCATTAGTTTTTTTTAAATATATTTATACACAAAACAAATTAATGATTATGCGGCATCGGCAGTTATGATATTTTGGAAACAGTCAAAATAAAAAAAAATAAAGATGATACAAAATGCTAGAAGTAATTAATTTTAATCGTAAAAAACTTACGTGAAATGTGCGCTAATTTGTCTTTTTGGTATCTTTGGTCTCTTCCTTAGGTTGTCCCTTGCCGAGCAGCTTGGCGAGCGAGTCCCAGATACCTCCGAGGAACAGAGCGCAGAACAAGTTCTCGAACGGAACGAAGGGATCATGGATACCCAGCAAAATTGATGACAACTACGGACAAATGCAATTCATAGCGTAAGGTTGTTTTAATAAATAAATAAACTATATACCTTTAAACGAGCAATTCTTGTATATCAATAATTGCTCGTTAATTATCGGAATCTCGGAAACGGCTCCAACGATTTTCATAAAATTTTGTGTGCAGGGAGTTTCGGGGGCAATAAATCCATCTAGCTGGGATTTAATTTTAGAAAATGTCTTTTTGTCCGTGTTTTTAGGCAATGAAAAATTGCTACAATATCGTTAGAATAAGAAGATAAATTTTGACAGATTATTAATGATTACAAATAGTTTAATTGGTATATTGGCCGGTCACAAAATCGTAATACCATGGTTCGAGCCCAGACCGACCGACCGACTTTTTTAATTTTCTTTTTTCAAGTTCCTTTTTTTTTTGAGAAAATCTATTTTTTCGAGCCCTTTTTTTAGTATTTTTTAAAAACACGAAAATTTAATTTAAACTAATTGCACTCATGATTTTTTATTCAAATAACCAGTTCAGTTTTTTCTATTATGTCGCTAAGATCAAAAAATATTATTCGTATTTCATCAGTATGTAATTTGTATCTAAATATAATTTTCAAAACACACGAATTAAAACAAAATCGAACGAAAAATACCGAGCAAAGCTCGGTCAACCGGGTACTAAATAAATGATTTTGAAACGAGTATAGGTGTCAATTGTTCTAAACAATGATAAAGCACAATATAAAAAAAACGTACATATAAAATAAAAATTATTTTTAATTATTGGATTGTTCTTCATTTCAATCAATACCCTTATTATTGTTTTTTTTTAATATGTTTACATACTTTAAAAGACTAGTTATTCTTGGATCATATTTTACTATAGCCACGGTCGAAATATGTATAGCATAATATTATCTACCAACAACTTTATTTATTCCATCTTTTCTTTCACTTTTAGAGAACGCCATAGATCATAAAGTTTTTGTAACCCCTAGTTCTAGTTGTTTGCAATAAAGTATAAATTCAATAAATTAATTAAAAGCTATCTAATATGGAATAAGTATGTCTAAGAGTGGATTGTTTCTTGTTTCGGATTAAAGTAGATTGCTTTTGGTGCTCAGAATAGAGAGAGTTGGAGAAATTTAACTTAAAATTAAAGTTACAGCCTATATACGTCCCACTCCTGGGCACAGGCCTCCGCTCATTTCTGAGAGGGTTTTAGGGCAAGGAATTGTCCGCCGCGCTGCCCCAATGCGTGTTGGCGAACTTCAAATTTAATTTGTGCTGAAATAAATGGTCATTCTCGCTTTTAGCTTATTATTTGACTTTCATCATCATCATAATCAACACCCCTTCACAAGTCCACTGCGGAATATAGGCCTCCCCCAAAGAATGCCACAAAGCACGGTCCTGAGCTATCTGCACCTGTCTTACCAGGTCGTCACTCCATCTAGTGGGGGGTCGCCCTACACTATGCCTACCGGTACGAGGCTGCCACTCGAGAACCTTTTTCCCCATCGGTTGTCGGTTCTTCGGCTTCGGCAGGCCGATTGCCCTTCCACTATTTGACTTTAACTTGTTAAAATTTCAATCAACACGTGTTACTTTGCAGCAATAAAGACTTTTCAGACATTTTTTAATAATTTTTAAATATAGTTTTCATAATAGACAAGTTTTTAAATGTGCTAACTTTTCTATTCATGATGACCCGTGGCTAGGGCTAGGCGAGTATGTGGCGTCTTTGAGTCTAATATCAATTGTAAATTAACATTGTGTTTCTTTGTGTCTGAATCTGTACCTGATCTGTACTTATCGCCGATTTTATCACATAATCGCATAATCGCCGCATGGCTTACGTAAAAAGTGGTTATATCAACTGAACCAACTTTCCCGGAGTCTATGCGTCATTTTATATTCTCCGAAGCAACATTATGTATTTTATTCATAACAATAAACGGTCTCTCATTTTTATTTTTGTTTAAGTTGGATTAATTAACGTTTTAAAACCATCCGCCAGGTGTACATCAAATTTGTTAAAATTACAGTATTAGTATACAAAGACAAAATTTTACAAAAACTTGTTTTGCTTACATTATCGCTTATCACTATCGTTTAATATTTAATTGAAACATCCGTTTTAGTTAAAGCAATTTATGTGATAAAACGACACGACAGTATATAATTATAAATTATACCTACGACATCGTAATATTGGATATATATATATATATATATATATATATATATATATATATATATATATATATATATATATATATATATATAAGATATAGAAAGAGGCATTTCATCTAAATCTTCACTTTCTTAATCGAGGATAGATGTAGATATCCATGGACTACAGTATCCACTTCACAATCAGGTGGACTGTGAGCTCGTTTTTCAAGCTTATTTAAAAAAAAAACACGATAGATATGTTGTTTGGACTTTCAAATATCGGAAGGGACAGCTTACAAGTAGTTGATAAATATATTGTAAAAACGTAGATATATAAAATGTGGCATGAAACCGTACCTTGAAGTAGACAAAGAAAATGACAATGCCGAAGTACACGAGGGCGTGTGGCGCAGAGATCAAATCCGTCTTCTTGTCCAGCACGAAAATCACCGACGCTACTAGTGACGCCTTCGTGTAGCTAAAATAAAAATAAAACACTTATAGTATTTTCAAGAATCATATAAATTATTTTAGACAATTGAATAGATATAACTATTCATATTTTCACTTCAAGTTCTTCACGAGCATATTCGCAAATTCATCAATTTACTCACGTAAAGCATAGTTATATAACTGATAAAGTAAGTACAAAACAAAATAATAATAATAACTTTTTGACAATTTAAATTTTTAGTGTTAGTTTTTCTACATTATAGTTTCTTTTTTTATAATGAGTTAGTATTAATTGTAAATATTATAATTTTAATTATTATTTTTATTTAATGTTACATATATAGGTAATAAATAATAACTGCTGTAATCTACTTTAATAAAATTAATCTGATAATATTTAAATTTAGTGTAAGTATACGAAAATAAAGTAAATACATTAATTGTATGAAAATCTTTCTAGTAATACTAGTTGTATTGCATTACCCGTCTTTCTTGCTTCCATGCAGTGTCAGTTTTATAGGATACGAGTACTAGCTGATTCCCGCTCGCTTCGCCGGGCGGACGACAGTATTTTATTGCGGTAGGTACTTGTACTATTATTATTTATTATATTATTACCTAGATGTAAAATATCAAGTTTTTTTTTTTGATGGGACTATCGTAGAATCCGTTCTTAGTAAACGACTTCTACATTGCGAAATGAATAATTATAGTAAAGTCAATTGGTTGTATAGTTTTAGAGATATCTTGATGAGTCAGTCAGCCATTCAATAGTATTTCGCATATAGTGAATGATCTTTATTACCGTCTGGAAAAAAAGGGTGTAACATGTTGAACGGAGTAGAAGCCTATGGCACTGATATTTTACAAAAAAAATTAATTAAAATCTATCGAAATTCAAATCATACCCAACAATAAATTTAGTAGGCATTTTTGATCTTGTCACTTCGAAGGTCACAGGCGCAAGAGCAAAGTAATTATTAAAAAAAAATTTTAAACGTTGAATTCAAAACAACTTTTAACAAAACAAAGGATAGGCAGCAGCGTCTTTCTAATGGTCCCCACATATGGTCAGTTAAGGTGATGAGTCGAACTGACGTACATCCAAAAACTGACCGTGAGTGTGGAATCTTAAGATGAAATTTTCAACTGACGACAACCCACGGATTTTTTCGGGCATACTGTCAGTTGAAACAGCTCAGTCGAACTGACGTACATCCAAAAACTGACCGTGAGTGTGGAATCTTAAGATGAAATTTTCAACTGACGACAACCCACGGATTTTTTCGGGCATACTGTCAGTTGAAACAGCTCACTCGAACTGACGTACATCCAAAAACTGACCGTGAGTGTGGAATCTTAAGATGAAATTTTCAACTGACGACAACCCACGGATTTTTTCGGGCATACTGTCAGTTGAAACAGCTCAGTCGAACTGACGTACATCCAAAAACTGACCGTGAGTGTGGAATCTTAAGATGAAATTTTCAACTGACGTCAACCCACGGATTTTTTCGGGCATACTGTCAGTTGAAACAGCTCAGTCGAACTGACGTACATCCAAAAACTGACCGTGAGTGTGGAATCTTAAGATGAAATTTTCAACTGACGTCAACCCACGGATTTTTTCGGGCATACTGTCAGTTGAAACAGCTCAGTCGAACTGACGTACATCCAAAAACTGACCGTGAGTGTGTGGAATCTTAAGATGAAATTTTCAACTGACGACAACCCACGGATTTTTTCGGGCATACTGTCAGTTGAAACAGCTCAGTCGAACTGACGTACATCCAAAAACTGACCGTGAGTGCGGAATCTTAAGATGAAATTTTCAACTGACGTCAACCCACGGATTTTTTCGGGCATACTGTCAGTTGAAACAGCTCAGTCGAACTGACTTACATCCAAAAACTGACCGTGAGTGTGGAATCTTAAGATGAAATTTTCAACTGACGTCAACCCACGAATTTTTTCGGGCATACTGCCAGTTGAAACAGCTCAGACGTACATCAGAAAGGAAAGTTGAGTCTGATAGTTGAATGAAGTTTGTGCCACTTGCTGTACATTCAAACGCAGTCGCAGAGTAGAACTGGTAGGACTCTATGACTATGACCATTTTAGTTTTTGTGTTTTAACATAATAATTATAGTAATCCACACAAAACTGCGGTCTCATGAGTTTTTAAATGAGGTAGGAGTTCCTCAACCGCTCCGAGAGCGGATACATATCGTTCCACGAGTTCTGTTGCATGTGTAGGTTGCAAGATAGAAGGCACGAGACCAAGTTGCGTTCGGTCCCCATTATCGCGGGTAAAATTGTAAATTGAAATTTTAAATATTGATTTACTACACGACGAGCGCGGTGCTGGAATACATCGTGAGGATACCTACCTGTTTGGGGACTAGGGCAGAACGGATCGAACTCAGGAGGTCGGGGCTCCGCAACAGGGCGTTAATAGCTGTTATTTTGTTATTTACTTTTTATTTTTTTTACCAACCACTAACGAATCTCTATATTTTAATCGTTAAACAGCTGTTTTGCAATTTACCTCACATGTTGAAGAAAATTCAAATCCAAATCTTTTAAATACAGTTTAACAATACTCACAAGGTTGGCTGCATAGTTTCCATCGCGGTAGGAGTCCATGCGCCGCGTACAAGACGCTCCACCAGTTTTGTGAAGCCGGCGCCATTACCTTTAATTGTTCCTGAAATCAAACAAATAAAAAATATTTTTCTTTCTTTATTTCAGCTCCAAATATTGCGTAGCACAAAAATTTTGTGTATAATATTGTGTAGACTTTTATTTATATAAAGTACATCTTTGATTTAACGTCAGTATGTCAATCAAACAGACGAATTCAAATCGGATGCACAGCGTTCGGGAAATTCGACACATCATCATTTCATCACATACTCCTCAACACTTGCAAACAGTGCGTGTAGCCAGTAATGCCATATAGATCTGAGTCGTCAAACTAAGCAACATGTATTGCTTGTGAGATACATTGTGTTTTCATGCGATGGCCAAGTAAATCTATATATTTAAAACATAAGATTTTTAACATTGATATGGTTACTATAAAATGTTGTTGGGTTAGCTAATTACGTAATAACTTAAAACAGAAGGACACTTAAGTAGGGACTGAATAAATTAACCGACTTGGTATTACATGGATCTCACAACTGTCTACAATAGAAGAACTGAGTTGCGAGACTTGGTTTTTTTACAAGTTATGTTTTTGATGGCATCTATTTTATTTTTAGAACTTGCGTTTTAATTTAATGATTTATACGTGGTAGAGCCACGCTACAGCTATATTATGGTAGTAGCACGAATGGGTCGGCTCGACCGGGGAAGGACTACGCTGTCATAGAATACCAGCGTAAAATACCAGCTTAATATTGCTGTGTTTCGTACGGTCAGTGTAGAGATCCGGGAATCATTTTTTACTGGAAACGCACGCAAAATAGCATCTTAGTCCTTAGGGGTGACAACGCATCTGCGTTTGCATTCTTGATCGAGGATAAATACACCACTGACACAGCCACGGCATTGTCAGCTTACTATGCCTATGCTCATTCGTGGCTTAAGTACGGAGTTATGTTGTGGGGAAGTAGCGTCGATGTGCTGCAGCTTTTTATTACCCAGAAAAAGTCCGTTAGAATACTAGCCCAGATAGATAACACTACTAGCTGTAGACCGTATTTCAAACAACTAAATATTCTTACCTTACCCTGTATGTACATTTATGATCTATGCCTGTTTGTCCACAAAAATAATAATAGTTTTAAGAAAATTAAAGATACGCACTACACGTAACAAAAATAAATTATACCTACCACAGTCGCGAACAAAAATGTTAAATACAAGCCCCTACTATATGGCAATAAAAGTATATAATAAATTACCACAGGAAATAAAAAATATGTCAGAATTAACCAAATTTAAATCAAGACTCGGTAAATATTTAAAACAAAACCCCTTCTACTCAGTAGAAGAGTATTTAGATAAAAAATAATACTATTATATATTTTTATATCTTTGTATAACTTTTAATTTTATTTTATTTTATGTATGTTAATAGTATATAAGCAGTGCCCTTGTTAAATTTGCAGTGCCTGAAAAGGGCGTCTAAGTTGTAAGCACATTTTTAATTTAATACCAATTATGTACACTTAGATTGCAAATAAACGATTTGATTTGATTTGATTAAATGTAGATGTTATTGGGCTACATCATCCACTTACCATCAGGTGGACTGTGTGCTCGTTTGTCACCCTTATTCTTTAAAAAATATGATCTTGTATTTTATTCTATGTGTGACTTTTACTTTTTAGTTGTATTCAAATACCAAAATTCGACAAATAATATATTCAACCTAATTGTAAAATATAAAACATTCAGTCCAGGGACGGGAAGCAGTGGCAAGGGTATGAGTCTGGTATTGGGAGAATAAACCAAGTAATCATACATACTCAGGTAGGATATGTAGGATTACATACTCATTGTATAGGAAAATTTTGTTGAATGTTTTTCTTCGATTACTGTATCTTGGGAATGAGTAATAATGCTGCAGCCCATGGGCACTTGAAACTTTTTGGTCTAAAAAAAATGTCTCATAACCCGTTATTATACTGGCTCCCTATTCCCTACTAACTGGTACAGCAAGCGCTCAGCCTTCCCCGCTAGAACTTCTAGACGTAAAAAGATTACTACTATAATATAATTTACATGTTTATCATATTATATCTAATACTAAAAACGGACTGAGGCGTTGGCTCGGAATGGCTTAGCAATTACTTGCGGCGCTGAGGTCCTCGGGTTCAAAGCCTGCACTGAACACGTATTCGTATGGTCTACATTGGTCGGGGTCAAGATGTTAAGTGGACGCTTTTCTGAAATTTAAGTATGTAAACCGCCTCGAATTCATGATAAGGGAGAATTTATTTAAAAAATAATAATAGTAGTTTAAAATAGTAAAATTAAAAACCTTTAAATCCCAACCTTATGATTGAATCAACACGCATAAAACGCGTTTTAATCAGTTTTAATTTGAAAGCAGCAATAGGCGAGCCTAAATACTAACTTCATCATTATCATTACAACTCGCGGCACGAAAGTCTAGCGGTGACTGTTTTTGCACATAATTGGCCGTATTACGCATTATTGCGTAGAATTGGCTGGTTCAGTCGCATTCCGTCCCCCGTACTGATACGACTTTCGCAGTTATCCCCTCCATGTTTCGTTCAGCGCTAAAGTTACGCGCCGCGAGTTGTACAGCCCTTCACAAGTCCACAGCTGCACTGAATAATGCTTAACTAAGTACTTACTTACGTACTACTTTACCGGTAAATATGCTCACCAATAATAATCATAATTATGTAGGCGTTAGGATACAGTTTGCCCGCGTGACTGACACCGTCGTAGACTTTCTTAGCACGGTAGATTTCTTTCATAGCGGACGCAGCTATCTTCACCGGTAGGAACTTGGCCACTTTATATCCGACATCGAATGGAGTGTAAAACACAATGTACCTGGTAAGAAGAAAGATTTTTTTAGAAAATTTTACTAATAAAATTTATATTGAAATGAGACTAGTTTTTACGAATTTTATGTAAATAGTACAAAAACTAATGGCAGCTCAGAGGCTTAGCGCTCGTTGTAAAATTTCACAGTACGCGAGCAACCCGGGTTTTTGAACGAATTTTAAGCGCAGGTTTACCACATGTTATGTGGTGAAAGAAAACATTGCGAGGAAACGTGCATGTCAGAGAAATTATATATTTCGAAGGCATGTGAAGTCCGCCAACACGCATTGGGGCAGCGCGGCGGACACTTCTTTGCCCTAAAACACATTTCAGAAGTGAGAGGAGGCCTGTGCACATCAATGGGACGTATAATAGACTTTAACTGTACTTTACAGTTTTATATAATATTGCTCGCATAAATCTAAGAAATCATTGAATAAACTTTCTATATTGCTTCTGGGATCGTTTTTTTAAATAATTATTATATTAACTTTCTTATTATTCCCGTTGATCACTTTAACTAAGCTAAAAGTTTTACGCTACTCGGATGCCGAATTAAACCGGAAAAAGGGGACAGTAGCCCAATCGTAAAAATACAGACTGCAGGAATCTGCATTTTGTAATCTTGCCATTGGACTACTGTTAGTTGTTACGTAGCACTATTATACAATATGTAACGTAATTAACGCACACCCTCAGACACCCCAATTAGTATATTATGTTATAATCATAATACATACACTGAATTTTAGTTAAACATTTTTATGCACTGATTATTTATCAAATTAGTTATACTAATTCCGAAAGAATGTTGTGGTCACAGTACAAATCCACGAACGCAAAGACTTTAACGTGCTTGAAATAAAGTTCATTTTTCTTTATTTTTATTGAATGACAGAATTAGTAATAATACAAATAAAACTGCACTCTTAAAAGTCTTATTGCCTTAAGTTACGGTCCATTTCAGTTTTGACTGTACAGAATTAGTGTGACTGTAATTTACGGAGTTTTAATTATTTTTGGGATAAAAAATTACCTATATTAAAAATGATAGTAATCGATTCAGTAAACGATTCTGAAAAAACTACTTTCTTAAAGTGCGTTAATTATGTGTTACATGTTGTATATTCTGTGCTAATGTGAAGTGCCGATACGCGGCGCGAGTAGGTATTTTCGAAAATGCTATCTGTTTCACATCGCTCGCTCCATACCGTATCGCCGTCGTGCGATAGAGTTGCAAAATAAATGTTGTTAGTAATTGCCTACATATTGTTTCGAGCGATAACGTTTTCTCCCACCGAAACCTTTACGAAATGAGACAATTTTGTCTCATTAGATTCAGTATACCTCCATTTAGGTCTGTACGTTTTTCTTTTTAGTAGTTCAGTTTAGTTCAATTTAAAAAAATATAAACGTTCGTGGAAGTTTTTAAGTTAAAACTATAGATATTTAGATGCTGATAACTTATATCGCACGTAATATTTCCCTAAAATAAAATCGAACGTAGGTACCTAGTTTTTTGTTATATCTACATTTCCAAAAATTAGACTATTTTTACGGGTAGGAAAACGTTATCGCTTTTTGTATGATAATTAACAGCTTTACAATCCTCTTACGATTTGCTTATATGTATAATCGCCATTTTTCATGCGTTGCGTTGCATGATATTGTGCTAGTAAATAAAATTAATTTATTATCAATATTTGGAAAAAAAGAAAAATATTTGGTGCAGTTAAGAAGATCATGTTAAATCTAAATAAAAGTTATCCAACACTGTTCCGAAGACAAGGTTTTCCATCTTTTATAAGTTAGTAAAGAAGATTATGTTATGTTAAAAAATCTGCTATATAGTGTAAGTTTAAAATATTTTATCATAGGTACAACTGATTAAAAACCAATGGCCGTATGATTGAATCCATAACACACATAGTGCAGCTACAAAGACTATAAGACCCTCGAAATACCGTTTAGACTGTTTAGTATTTAGTGTTAAATTTTGTTTTATGGGTCCTAAAATGATGACAATAAAACAAAATTTAAAATATACCTAATTTTAAGAATATTAGACATTAGTTTCAGCCTATACCATTATTAACTTATTAACAGTTTGATCATTGATCACTGTGCCTTAATGTGCCTTCATATCCATTAACTTAACATGTTTCTTTTATTCTAACCTGTACCACCGATATTTAACGATTTCTTTTCAATTGCAAGGAATTGTTATTTAAAAATTTTGTAAAATACAACCTCTATAAAAACGAACTTCAATACAGTTCGTATACAGCTTGCATGCTGCTTGGGTACATTAATTAACTTGCTTGGGTTAATTAACCAATTACAATATTCATTGGATGTGGTAAACTTTATTCACTGTGATGAAAGTATGCTTTATGATTACAAAAAAAAAAAAACAGGAAAATCGATTGAATTACTTACCCCAAAGATATTTTAATACCTTTGAAAAAAAAAAAACAATCGAAGTCGATTAAAATTGAGAGTTTTGTCCCAGTCTATAGAATAATAAAATAAAACATTAAATACTTACCACGTAACGGTTCCAATAAGCAGCTGTGGCGTGTTCTTCAACGGGGCAAGAATGGGCTCCCCGAGCAAGCCGTTGGCCACCATGCCGCCCGCGAAGATCACCAGCATAGTAGACAGCCAACACGCTAAAGGATGTTTACGAGAGAAAGCCTGCGCGCCTGAAATGTATTTACATCATCTATTTTAAATTTTCTCCAGGAGAAATTTCGGTCACAGCGAGCATTGTCAACAGAGACTAGCCATCTCCGCAGGACAGAAGTACAGTGCACGAGTACGTGCACAAGCACAGGTGCACTCTAATCCTTCACTCTCATAATCCGACGGTACGGCTACTAGACACGACCGGGGAGATATCAGGCGCAGGACCAATAGAGGTCACGAGCGTTCCGAGACACGAATGGACACCGGCGACTTCTTGACTACTGCTACTGAGAAGTTCCTGACAGAAAGACAAAAAAATTGATTTTGGTCTGATCCGGGATTC